GGAGGTATACTTACCTCCGAATCTTAATTTATTTTTTTTTTAAAAAAAAAACAATTTTTTTTTTATATTATATAGGTTCCAGATGGAACCTATTGATGATTTTGGAATTCAGAGGTATGCTTACCTCCGAATCTTAATTTATTTTTTTTTAAAAAAAAACAATTTTTTTTTAATATTATATAGGTTCCAGATGGAACCTATTGATGATTTTGGAATTCAGAGATATGCTTACCTCCGAATCTTTAATTTATTTTAAAAAAAAAATAATAATTTTTTATTTTTTATTTAACGAACGTCACTAATATTCGTTTTATCAAACTTTTAGGTTTTGGATGCCGAAGAACAGCTTCAGACTCTTATTTCGAAGGTAAAATCTTTACCTTTGAAATTTTTTTTATTATATTTTTGTTTAACGAACATCGTTAACGTTCGTTTTTAATTATTTTCATATCTCAGACACTGAAAAATGACTCTGGACTTATTTTCGAAGGTAAAACCCTTCGAATTTTTTTTTGTATTTTTTGTATCTTTACTTTTAACAAAACGTTACTAAACGTTCATTTTTGTAGGTGTCAACATCAGTCTTCGGGTTTGAATTGGTAAGTTTTGAAGCTTTTTTTTAGTTTGAAACTTTTTTTAAATGATTTTTTTTAAAACTTTCTTTATTTCTTTTGTAGGTGTCAGCTTTTGATTATTGGCTTTGGATCGGTAAATTTTGAAATATTGCTTCAAAACTTTTTTTTTAAAAATTAACTTTTTTTAAAAAAAACTTCAACTAATTTTTTTTTCATCTTTTTGTAGGTAGGCATCGGCTTCGGTTCTTAATTCTTGATAGGTAAGTTTTGAAGTAAGAGTTTCGAAACTACTTTTTTAAATTTTTTTTTTTAAGAAATTATATTAATTTTTTCTTTCTTTCTTTGTAGGTATCGGCAGATCTTTAGGCTTTTGATCGGTAAGTTTTAAAGTGAAGTTTTGAAGCTTTTTTAAATGTAATTTTATTTAATTTTCTTTATTCTTTTGTAAATATCAGTATCAGTCCCAGACTTTGGATTGGTAAGTTTTGAAGTATTTACTTTGAAACTTTTTTTAAAATATATTTTCTTGAGAAATTTTATTAAATTTTCTTTCTTTCTTTCTTTTGTAGGTATCAGCATCGGTTCTTGGATCGAAGGTTTTATTCGTTAAGTTTTGAAACTTTTTTTATAAAAAAATCATCAAAAAATTTTAACAATTTTTATTCTTTCTTTTGTAGGTATCGGCTTTCGGTTCCTGGGTTTTTGGATTGGCAAGTTTCAAAGTGGAAGGCTTTGAAACTTTTTTATTTAAAAAATTTTATTTAATTTTTTTTTCTTTCTTTTGTAGGTGTTGGCATTAACTTTGCGCTTTGGATTGATAGGATGGAAAGTATATTTTTGAAACGTGTTTTTTTTTGTATTTTTTTTATTAATGTTTAGCTTTCATTTTATTTTTTTAGGTTCCTGTTCACATTTAGAAGGATTTCGAAGGTAAACCTTCAAAATTATTATTTTTTTTTATTACTTTTAATTTACGAAACGTTTACTAACGTTTTAGTTGTTTTTTTTTGTAGGGTTTTGGTTCTCTGGCTACTGGACGAAAGAATTTGAAGGTAAACCTTCAAATTCTTTATATATATTTTTTTGTGGTTTTTTTCTTTAACGAACATTCTACTAACGTTCGTATTCTTTTATTTTTTAGGTTCCAGCTCCATTTGAAAGAACTTTGAAGGTGATAACACTTCAAAATTCTTTTTTTTATTTTTTTTTAACAAATATTCTACTAACGTTTATTTTTCTTTTATTTTTTAGATTCTGGCTCCATTTGAAAGAACTTTGCAGATATAACACTTCAAAGTTTCTTTTTGTTTTATTTTTTTTTAACGAACGTTATACTAATGTTGTTATTTTATTTTTTTAGGTCCAGAACGCCGAAGGTATGTTCTGGACCTATTTAAAGGTAAAACCTTCAAAATTATTTTTTTTAATTAATTTATTGATGAACGTTAACTAATGTTCGTATTTCTTTTTTTTTTAGGTAAAGAAAGCTGAAAGACTAACCTTCAAATTTTTTTTTCTTGAATACTAAGAGAGGTTAAATTTTGTAACAAATTTTTCATTACGCAACTTATATTTTTTTTTTATTTTATAAAAGAACATTTCTAACGTTCTTTATTCTTTTTTTGTAGTTTCGGTACTCCAAAGATTCCCAAAACGAAAATGGTAAGTTTTGCAACATCTTGTTGCGAAACTTTATATATATATTTTTTAATTTTATAAAGATTAAAAAACATTTTTCTAACGTTCTTTTATTCTTTTTTTTAGGTTTTCGGCTCGTCTGGATTTCAACATGGTAAGTTTTGTAACGAACTTTTCATTACGAAACTAATATTTATTTTTATTTTATTTAAATGAAACGTTACTAACGTTTCAGTTTTCTTTTTTTTGTAGATTTTTGGCTTTCTGGATGCCTCTTGGACGGAATTTCGAAGGTAAACTTCAAAATTCTGTTTTTTTTGTTTTATTTTAGCGAAACGTTATTAATGTTTCATCTTTCTCTTTTTTTTAGGGTTCAGCTCTCCTGTTTCTGTCTGGATGGAATTTCGAAGGTAAAACTTCGAAATTCTATTAGTTTTTTTATTTAATGAAACGTTGGCTAACGTTTCAATTTTCTCTTTTTATAGGTTATTGGCTTTCCGGACATAATGGAATTTTGAAGGTTAAAACTTTGAAATTTAAAATTTTATTATTTTTTTTATTTTATTTAACGAACGTTTACTGATGTTTGTTCTTATTTTTTGTAGGTCCAGAATACTGAAAGTACTCTGGACATCATTTCAAAGGTATAATCTTCAAAAGTTTTTAATTTTATTTAGTGAAACGTTGACTAACGTTTCATTTGTATTATTTTTATGGGTTTGTAGGCTCATGGCTTTTTGGACACGAATTTCAAAGGTAAACTTTGAAATTCTTTAATTTTTTTATATTTTTTTTAATTTATCTAACATTCATTTTTATATTTTGTAGGTCCAGAACACTGAAGTATAGCTCCAGACTCATTTTTGAAGGTAAAACCTTTGAAAGTTTATTTTTTTAATAAATTATTTGATGAACGTTAATTAACGTTCAATTTTTTTAGGTCCTATGACTTTAGACGGGTTTCTAAATAAAATTTCAAAGTAATATTCAAGGTAATTACTTTGAAATTCTTTTACTTTTTTTCAACGAACTTTACGAACTTTATACTAATGTTCGTTTTTCCTTTATTTTTGTATAGATTTTTTTTCTATTTTGCTAATTGTTTGTTGGAATCAAACCAACTGCAACAATGTTCCAAACCATTAATAACATGTAAATATGCAGTAAAGAGATGATGAATAGCAATAACTAGTAATAGATTTCAATTGTATTTGTAAACTTGTTAATATATAATAAAAAAGTAATTTTGATTATATAAATAAATTAGTAATTAATGCAATAAATTAATTTGTATTATTTTTATTCAGATTTTTACTGAAAAAAATTGCTGAGGTATTTTGAAGGTTTTTTATTTAAAAATCTGCGCAGAACTTTGTTATTTATAAAATCTGCGCAGTTTTTTATTGGATTTTTCCTCTAATGTTTTGCGCCAGGATATAAGATCTGCGCAAATATAATTTCTGAAAATCTGCGCAGATTTGCTTCCCAAAAAATTTCCCGATGAGTAAATTTTAAAAATAAAAATTCTGCGTATTGGTGGCATTACGAAAAACATGAATAAATTCATAAATATCTATTCAATCATGATAAAAATTTATATTCGAATCTGCTAAACAACTTTACTTAAAAAGGTTTTGGATGTATGTTTCATTTAACTAAAGTGCCTAAATTACGCTCTGAAGTCAAGAACAGATATACGAAAATATTAATAAGAAACATTTATAAGTTGTAATATTACAAAAAAGTAACAATAGCTTTATCCATGCATTATTTCAAAAATTTTTGTTTTTTTAGTTTTTTTTTATATACATATTTTATAAAAAAATTATATATTAATATATGTATGTCATAAAATAAGTTGCTTAGCAGTGTAAAAAATTTATGGGTTAAATAAAAGTTTGCTTAGCAGACATGAAAAATATTTGCTTATTGACCTTAGTAAATTTTGAATTTTTCATCTGACCTATATATATATTGTTCGGGATTCTTCCTCATATATAGTGGAAAAATAAAATTTTATCAGTATATCAAGTCTTTAATAGTATATTAGTATATCAAATATTGGTATATTGAAGTTAGACTGTAAATTATAATAATTGTGTTATTTTTCTTTTTTTTCATTATTATTATATGTGGTAGTTTAATAACATTAGAGTAGCATATATAGTTTCTTACTTTGTATATACTTTCTATTACTTTTACATTAATAAAATTACAAATGTACTGCAATATAAAAAAAAAATTACAATATACTATTACAATATATTTTCAATTATTATTATTATAACTTCTATTAAATTTTATTTTAAATTTAAAAATAAATTGATTTGTATTTGAATATATCTGAAATCAAGTGATATAAATAAATATTTTACTATTTTGTTTAAATTACATTCAATTAGTTATTATCAATAGGATAGATTTCACAATATTCCCTATTTGATAATATTTATATAGGGCTATTTAATTAGAAAGAAAAATATATAGATAGATAATCTATTGAAATTTTATCATTCCATATTTGATTATATTTACATATGGCAAATTTTATTTGAAAGAAAAATATATAGACTTCTTTTAAGTAGTTTTAAAGAATTATTTTTGAAACAATTTGTTTGTTTATTTTTTCATCATTCTGTATCAGATAGTATATACATATAGCTTTTATAAATAAAAAAAGAATTATACATGCATGCTATTAATAGCGTGTAGAAAAGAAAAAAAATACAATATTAGTAATAAAGACAAAAAAAAGAAGTCAAAGTCAAAGTCAAATAGTAAGAAGGGTAATGGTAAGCACATTATAATAGAACAGAGTGAGACTAATTGGAACAAATGGAATGATTTAGCATTCCATTGGGGTGTACTGGTAAAAAAATGGTCTATCCTACACATATCCTACACATATCTTACATATATCGAGTACCCAATATGTGTAAGATATGTGTAGAAATCATTTTTTACCAGTGGTGGTCATTGGGCAAATTTTTAGGTAGATCTTGACAGTCACTAAAATTTTTGGTTGTATCATTGTTTTTAATAGTGATATAAGCATCTAGGTGACAGGTCAACTTTTTCTTTAGAGGAGTAGTCTTTTTCATAATGCTTGGTTCTTATATATATTATGTTTTTCTTATTTTTATAAGTTTAGTATATGTAAGTAGGCGTAATTATATTAAGACAAGATCGCATCTATAGAAATTAATAATAAAAAAAAAAAATCAATAGGATAGATAGCTGGTGGATATTTTATATAGATTTTCTTTATATTTTATACATTAGTTATATATAGATTATTTATTTATTACATTAGATAATTTATAAAATAAAAAAAAGTAAACCTATATTTCATAAAATAAAGTATACTTAGGTTAGCTTATTCTAACCATTAAAATTTGTGACTATAAACCGGTTTGTGGTTTAAAATATAGTGAATACATACATATATATTTGTATATGCGTGCGCCAGTAACTTTAATATGCACTAACCAAATCGGGTGGAAATAAAAGAATTAACGATATATTATCAATTCACCTGACTAATTCTTTTCATAACTTTCAAAATGTCTGACGCTAAATATTTTCAAAGAGGTATGTAACAAATTTATTCATGATATATATGTACGCATGTATTTGTTTTTTTATTAGAGATGACGTAAAATACACTATCTCATCTTTTATTAGGGAAGGTTCAAGAACTTCGTTCTGAGTTAAATTCGGAAAAGAAAGATAAGCAGCATACAAAGAAAAAAACGGTATTAAAAAAAATAGTAGCAAATATGACGATGGGAAATGATATGTCAGCTTTATTTCCTGATGTGATTAATTGTATGCAAATCCCCGTATTAGAAATAAAAAAAATGGTTTATCTTTATCTTATTATTTATTCAAGATCGAAGCCCGATATGGCTGAAAAAGCTATTCCGACTTTCATTAAAGTAAGCTGTAATGTGTTTATTTTTAAAAGAATTAAAAAATAAAAATCAGTTAAATAATCTTTTTAATTGAAATTTAGGATGCAGGAGATCAAAATCCATTGATTAGAGCATTAACAATAAGAACAATGGGATATATTAATGTAGAAAAGATAGTAGACGCGTTAGCTGGTCCATTAAAACGTTGTTTAAAGGATCAAGATCCATACGTTCGTAAAACAGCCGCAATAACAGTAGCTAAGTTGTATATGCATAATAAAGGATTGGTCGAAAATGAAGGATTCATTGATTTATTAAGAGATTTATTAGCCGATTCAAATCCAACAGTGGTGGCAAATTCTGTTGCTGCTTTAACTGAAATTTCTGAACGGTCAGAAAATATTTCATTAAAATTAAACACGAACATGGCTAATAAATTAATAGCTGCTCTCAACGAATGTACCGAGTAGGTTTCTGAATTTTCGAAATATATATATATATATATATACATATTTTTTAATTAACTATTTGTTTATTTAGATGGGGACAAACATATATACTTGAATCTTTAATGTCATATGTACCTCAAGAAATGGGAGATGCTGAGATGTTATGTGAACGTATCGCGCCGCGTTTACAACATGCAAATTCAAGCGTAGTGTTAACAGCGGTTAAAGTAATAATGTATTTAATGAATTACATGACAAAAGAAGAAGATATTAATATCATGTGTAAAAAATTATCTCCCCCGTTAGTAACACTTCTTTCAAGTGGACCTGAAGTCCAATATGTTGCTCTTCGTAACATTCTTTTAATTATACAAAGAAGGCCTGAAGTGCTAAGAAATGATATGAAAGTATTCTTTTGTAAATATAATGACCCTATTTATGTTAAATTAGCAAAATTGGAAATTATGTTTTGTTTAGCTAATGCAAGTAATGTAGACCATGTTTTATCGGAATTAAAAGAGTGAGTATAAGTGAGTTTATATTGTTTTTTCTTTTTTTTTGAACAGATGATTAACTTGATGCTTTTTGTTTTTGGTTTGTTTTTTAGATATGCTACAGAAGTTGACGTTGACTTTGTGAGAAAAGCTGTAAGGTCCATTGGAAGATTAGCAGTAAAAATAGAGTCGACAGCCGATAAATGTATAGATGCATTATTGGAATTAATACAAACCAAAGTAAATTATGTGGTACAAGAAGCTATAGTAGTTATAAAAGATATTTTTAGGAAATTTCCTAATCAGTATGAAAGTATTATTGGTACTTTGTGTGAAAATCTAGATAATTTGGATGAACCTGAAGCAAAATCAGCCATGATTTGGATAATTGGACAATATGCCGATCGTATTGAAAACTCCGAAGAATTATTAGACGATTTTCTTTTTACATTTTTAGAGGAACCTGTTGAAGTACAATTAAGTTTGTTAACTGCTACTGTAAAACTTTTTATTAAAAAGCCTACAGCTGGTCAAGCTCTTGTACCTAAAGTATTAAAATGGGCTACTGAAGAAGTTGATAATCCTGATTTACGTGACAGAGGTTACATTTATTGGAGATTACTTTCAACTGATCCCGTGGCCGCTAAAGTATGTATACTGAGAAGATAGTTGTCATTAATTTTTTTTTTAAGCAAAAAAAAAAAAATAGTCAACTTAAAATTTTTCTTTCTTTGGTAGAATATTGTATTATCCGAAAAACCAAGTATCACAACTGAAAGTGATAATATGGAACCTACTTTACTTGATGAATTGTTACTACATATTTCAAGTTTATCTTCAATTTATCAAAAGTCTCCTCAAACTTTTATTCATCATTGCAAGCCAAGACAATTAACGGTTTCTCCTGTATTAAATAGAAGATATCCTGGACAACAACGTAAAGCTACTAATTTATTTGATGCTGATTTAGATGATCTTTCTTCTGGGTAAATATGATTTTTTTTTTATTTTAAGAAAAAAGGGGATTATTAACTTTTTTTTTCTTGTTTAGAAATCTTGGTAATTACGAATCAAACCCTTATCGTGCAGATGTTGTAAATATTGATGAACGTACTCCCGAAAATTTACTTTTAGATTTATAAAAGAATTTGTAATTTAAAATATAAATTTAATTTAATTTTTTAATTTTTTATTTTTCATTGTCAAAAACGTGTCTAAATAGTATTGAGCTAAAATGAATTAATTATTCCTAATTAAGAAGTTTAATCCAAATGTTTGGGATGTGATAAGCCTGCTCAATGTATTACACTTAATTAAAAGTTAAAAAATAAGTTTTAAAAAAGTCCTTTTAATAAAACTAATTCATAAAAAATGAGTAAACGAGGATCAGTTTTAAGTCAAATTCAGAGTTTTGACGCGTATGCCAAAACTCTCGATGATTTTCGCGTTAAAACATATTATGGAGCGATATGTATGTTATTCATAACCATTCTTTGATAATTATCTCTTAGCAACTAAACGAATTAAATATTAAATGAACTTCTTTATAAAGTGACGATTATAAGTGCAATTTTGATTTGCATATTACTTTGGTCAGAGTATTGTGATTACCGAACACCAGAAATGAAACCACAATTAGTTGTAGATAAAAGCAGAAAACAAAGGCTCGAAATTAATATTAATATTACTTTTCCACACGTGCCATGTTATTGTAGGTAAATTTTTTTTAAAAAAAATTTCTAATTTATATAATAAGTGCAACCATTTAACGGTTTTTTTTTAAAAATAAAAATAAAAATAAACTAGTATTAAGTGTAGATGTAATGGATATCGCAGGAGAAACACATAATGATTTAGTTCATGATATTTATAAAACTAGATTAGATCCTGATGGTAATGAAATTCATATTGAAAAAACACACGGTATTTATTATTTTATAATTATTATCGTTAAAAAAAAAAATAAAGTAAAGCAAAATTCCTGAATTTTTTAAAAAATACATTTATTTATAGAATTAGGAGATCAAGCAAAAGGTATAAATAAAGTATTAAATGATACAAAAGTAGTATATAATGAAACTTATTGTGGTAGCTGTTATGGAGGAGAATTACCAGAGAGCGGATGTTGCAATACATGTGAAGAAGTGAGAGAAGCTTATATTAAAAAAGGATGGTCATTTGGTGATACTGATTCAATTGAACAGGTATGTTCTTTTTCTAAAATAAAAAAAATCACGTTTTAAAATTTTTTTTTCTTATTCATTAGTGTGTAAAAGAAGGGTGGAAAGAAAAAGTATCGCAACAATCAAAAGAAGGTTGTAACGTAGCAGGTAGTGTAAGAGTAAATAAAGTAGCTGGTAACTTTCATTTAGCTCCTGGTAAAAGTTTTCAGCAAAATAATATTCATCTACATGATTTACAACCTTTTTTAAATGATGGTGTAAATCATGATTTTACTCATGAGATACATCATCTAAGTTTTGGTCCTAAAGTACAAGGGGTTGTAAATCCTTTAGATGGTATTGGTAGAAGCGTTTCTCAAGGTAAGTTTTTTTTTACATTTTTTTTAGGAAGAAATGGTTCATATTAAAATATATCGACTAAAAAAAAAATAAAAAAAAAATTATGTAGGACATTATATGTTTCAATATTTTGTTAAAGTAGTATCAACGCAATTTCATTATTTGAATAAAACCACAATTGATACGAATCAATATTCTGTTACTCAATATGAAAGGGATTTAACTGGTAGAGATACAAGTGGTCACGTTCATACTCATCAAGGTGGTCTCCCAGGTAACTATTTACTTTTAAAAATCGAATAAATTGTATGAAGTATATGGTAATATTAATACCTTTTTATTAAATTTAGGCGTATTTTTTAATTATGACATATCTCCAATGTTAATTATAAATCGCGAAGAGAGAAAATCTTTTACACATTTTTTAACGGGTGTATGTGCAATTGTGGGTGGTATATTTACCGTTGCTGGTATATTAGATGGTTTTATTTATAATGCTCAAAAAACTTTGCAAAGAAAAATTGAATTAGGAAAACATTTGTAAAAAAATTATTATTAATTATCACTAATAATTAGATAGAAATATTATATAATGTTATTTAGTGCCGTCGTATAAGGTTGAATGGGTATGTTTTTTTTTTAAAAAAAATATTAATTAGAATAAAAATTATAATAATAAATGCTACTTAGTTAATTCTTAGCCTATAAAAATCTCATATGCACTACAATCTCGTCGTTTTTCTTTTTACTTCAGTATTTATAGTCCCGTTTATAGGACCAAGGAAAAAAAAATATTATAATCTTAATATTAAAGTAAGATTAAATGCCTTAAATAAAATATATTCTAAATAAGCCCTCTCTTATAATAGAGTTGAATTTTTAGGGTATGATAACTAATTTAAGTTAATTCAATATCTAATTAAAATATTTACATGAATTAGTTAATGTAATTTTTCCATTATTATTTACATATACAACACCTATCCAACTTTTTTCCAAATAATACTTTTTATTTATATACAAATGCAAATTAATTTGCCGACGTATTGCGGCACCTGTAGCGTTTAAAAAGAATTGTTCAAATAATTGTTCAAATATTGTACCCGGCATCGAACTGAATTTACTATATTATAAAAAATTTAATCATAAATATTTTAATCTCAAAATTAAAAATGTCAGTAAAATACTCACAAAACCACCAAAAGCAGCTTCAACCAATAAGAACAAGGGATTTCCTTCATAATTCTCGGCCTCGTTTTTGTTTTCTATGCTTTCTGCATTGTTTCCTATAATGTCTTCGTTCTTATCATGAATTTCATTGTATTGATGAAATCTATTTGCAGTTCGTTCTTCAACTTTAAGGTTTTCTGGACCTACTTCTACTGGTTCCGTATGAACACGTACATTCGTTGAGGAGGATGAACTTACCGATGATTCATAATCTTCAGGCCTAAGTCGTTTAGCGATCCTCTCATCTCCGTAATTGTCACAATTCGATCTACTTGGTCCTGCTCCTTCGTCCTCTTTTTCGTTCTCTTTGCCATCACATTCAAGCCGCGATTTCATTTGCGATAACTCAATAGCCATAGTCATTTGAACATCTTCATCCAGCAGTTCGATTGCTGCTGGTAATGATATTATTGGTAGTAATAGGGTGAGGAAAAAGGAAAACCGCCATTTTCTAATCTATTCACGATCCAAGTGGGAACGAATTCTTTTCCCTTACCTTTGCTACCAACTAAATCCTTTCCAACCTCATCGCCCAGGAAAAATTCCTTCCCCTTGCCTTTTTGCGGAGAAACTTCAGGCTTTTTACCTTCTTTTTTTGAAGGTAGTGCCTTTTCTGTGGCAGCAATCACCTTTTCATTATTTTCCTCCAATGCTGTCTTCATTTGCCCAATCCAATCCAATCTAACACTTTGCCTTGGTAATTTATGCAAAGTATCATTGAGATAAAATTCCGGATCGCATTCAATCCGTCGTTTTTCGGGCTGATGTTCAATAGCAGTATTGTCCATATAAGGCAAAACATCTTCTCCACGCAATCTACGCATCGGAGGCTACATTAAATATCAAAACAGAAATCAATATTAAAAGATTTAATAAATTAATATAGATAGATATATTTTTTTGCCTACCAATACATGATCTGCGTGTAATGGACACATCCACTTTTTATGCAATGGAGGTGCGATCGTAAGAGGTGGTGTCAGACAATCAAAGTGCCAGTGCTGATCACAAAAATCACAAGACATTATCGGCCTCAAATGCCTCGGAGGTAGTTTGCAGTAATAGCAGCAAATACTTCTCCCTTTTGTGTCGACAAATCTCTCCCGATCTGGTTCGACCGGATAACCTCTTTTGCTACAATAAAGAATAGAGATTAAATTAATGTAATAATCAAATATATTCTTATATATTATTATTTTTAAAATCGTACTCAAGTTGTACCGGTTTCTCCTTGTTTGAATCCCGATATTCTCCATGCTTACCTGCAAATACTGTAATATTGAAAAGAGGAGAATTTAACAATATATTTTATCATAAAACAAAGAAAAGAAAAAAATTTTGATTAACCTCCGTCAAATGTATTTCTAATATTTTCCGGTAGCATAAAGGCTGTTGGATTCGATATGTGAGCTTTATCTTTAAGTTCTTTAAAAAGGCTACCTTTACGGCGACCTTTACGTCCCCGTTGTTGCGATTGACGAGTCTATGGGAAATACACAGTTATTAAAAATCAAATGAAAATTATATTGAAATCTTGAACATTTTATTGACAATGATAAAAAATCAAAAATGAAATTATATGTTACTGACACTTTCAGAACTGCATTCTCTACAGTACCAGTTTCCAGTCGGTGGGTTATCAACATCAAGCGGAGGAACTAGACAGGTGAAATGGAATGCCTTTGGGCATCCGTCACAACACATCATACGACCTCCGTACGTACACACGTCACAATGGTCGTTATTGGTCTGTTATTTTTTTAAGAATATATATTCATTTGAAAAAAAAAATAGTTAATATACATTTTACAGTCAACTAAATATAAATTTTAAAAAAATTATATGTTTGTTCCGAAGATAGTACCGTATGTTTTACCTGCGTACTTGAAGGAACGTTTCTTGTTCTGCCTCTACCTCGGGTGGACATAGTTCTTCTAGTAGACCTATGTAAAAGTAAGAGTAATTTATTTATTTATTTTAAAAAAAGAATCTTTTTATATTTACTAATGACTGTTATATATGAAGCTAAAACGTACCTCATTGAAACTTTTTATTTTATAAGGGATTTATATAAGTTTACATAAGCCGAGTTTAAAGGAAAACACTTTCTGCGATAAAGAGGCACCGAAACGATAACTCGAGAATTAAACCATTATTTCACGTGATCTAAAAAAAAATTGATTATTGCTAAAATAAATTTAACTGGTTTTTTTTGGAGCTATGGCGATCGATTGGGTCGATAAAAAGTTCATGTTACACGGACTTTTTTTTTCTTGGAAGAATAACATTATGTCAATTGCTTTTAGACTATTCTCAGCTTACCAACACGGAAAATCTTTAATAAAGATTGGGAAGAAGCCAATTAGGTTTTACACTACTAATATGGCAGCACATCATTCATTTTTATATGATCCTCCAAAAAATGATCAAGACTCTTCTAATTCTTTAATACGAGCAGCACCAAAGGAAGTTTTACCTCTTTTACAGGCTATCTATCAAAATAATACAAAAGAAACTTGGAAATTATATTTAGAACTTTGTGATAAAAAGCAATTATATCTTCTATCACCTTTACAACATTCTAAAGTACTAAAAACTTTTTCATTCAAAAAATCTTTTAATGAAAAACAAAGACATAATTTAGAGACACAACTCTTGTTTATTTTTAATAGAATGAAAGGAGTTGGAATTGAACCAGACGTAAATGATTTTACTCATATGATGAATGTATTTAGTTTAATAGGAAATTCCAAAATTTGCGATAAACTTTGGGAAGAAATGACCAAAAGGAAAATTCAACCTAATACATATACGTACAATTCTTACATAACTTCATGCTGGGGATTGATCAAGTCAAATAAACGAAAGGAAGAAGGGTTTCGGAAAGCTCAAAGAATTCTGATCGATCTTAATAATATTGGAAGGAAACCAAATTTAGTAACAAATTGCTTTTTAATTCGATTGTTTTCAGCGTCAAAAAGATTGGAGAATGCTCAAGGTTTACTTGAAACTATTTTTTCTCAAAAAAATATTTCAAAAAAAATAAGAAAAGAAATTTTACGAAATAAGTCAATAGTAACTCACACTTTTAATTATTTAATGAATGCACATGGCAATGCAGGAGATTTATTAATGATGGATAAGTGTTTTCAAATTTTCCTAAAAACCGAATTACCGCCGCATATTTATATGTTCAATACGTTTGTTAGAAATTCTAGTAGAATGGATGTAAATAAAGCCAAAGGATACATTAAGAAAATGACTCAAGAATTTGATTTAGAACCGACTCATCAAATATTTGGTTATATATTATTTAATTTATATGAAAAAGGGCTAACTAGAAAAGCTGTGGAATTTTTAAAAGTTATGCAAGATGAATTCGAGTTTCCTCCTTCTAAATTAATGTTGATTAAAATTTATATGTCAATGTTAAGGAAAAATAGACATGACGATGCAAAAGAATTTGCAGCTCAGTGGAAAATTCCTATCAATATATAATAAATTCTATTATTTTGGACGAAGCTTGCTTCTTTTTCGGTACGGACTGATTTACAAGTTGTCATGTGATGATAATCTCCTTGTACGATACTTGGATCTAATCCAATGAATTTGCTTGATTTATTCCCAAGTTCATCGTCTCTTTTTCTCAAATGTCCTTTCTCTTTAACTTCGGTATGAAACTTTCTCAATGTATTATTGTTATTAAACTCTTGCTAATTTAAAAAATTTAATAAATGGAGTGTTTCTCTTTATTTAGGTCAAAGGGCCGTTTTGAATTCCGTGACAATACGTGGTTCAATTAAGCCCTTGTTTTATAATTTTAATTTTATTAAATCTTTTGGTACTAAAATAACACATCATTCATTATTAACTAATTATACTACACAAAAAAATGTATTTCAAATTTCGTCGCTTAATACGCGTTTCACAATAAAACCTCCTATTGGTACTAGTTCTAATAATAATTTTATTCGATTTAAATCGTATAAAATGAAAACTCATTCAGGAGCAAAGAAAAGGTAAATTAAAAATTTAATTTTGTGTAATCTAATTTTGTATTATTTTAATATAATTTATTCATTATAAATATAATTATAGATTTCGTATCTTACGTAATGGAAAGTTTAAAAGATTTAAAGCCGGAAAAAGACATTTAAATACGGGAGTTTCACGTTCTAAAATTAGACTTTTAAGTAATCCAGCATATTCGCATCCGTCTCAAATGAATCATTTAAAAAAACTTATGCCTTATGCTTAAGACAATAGGAATAAAATAGGGTTCCTATTTTAAAAAAAATTGTTGCATTTGCATGACTTTATTTATTTATTTATTTTAGTTCCCCCAATTATTTAATTCTATGCATTCAATATTATTTTTGCACTTCCAGGATAATATTATCAGGATAATGCTTTTCATGTTTATATACAGGATCAGAAAATTGTCTGTAAAGTCGAAGAAGTCGAAAATATAAAAAGAAAATGGAAATATGAATCTGACCTTTTGCATTTATTCACTTATTGCCGATAAAAGTAATACAATTTAATTTAAAATCAGTAATATTACAAAGTACAAAATTTTAATTTAGCCGTTAAATTTGCAGAAGCATTGACCACAAACAAAATATAAAGTTCCGACCCTTGTTGACTAAATCAGGAACACAAAACCTGCGGGGTTAATTCTATACGGTAACCAATAATAACTCGTGATACATTCCCTTAATTGGACGATATATGATGGTGCATCTCGTATATCAAAAAGACTATAACTCTCAGGGGTTCCTAATAAAATTTTTTTTCCAAGAAATTTTTTAGTTTATCCCCTGTTGCGTTCGCAAAAAATTTCAGACTACTGTTAACTTAATATTCTGAAGATGCAACAGCAACCTCTCCAGCACGAAAACTCTCAAATTACTAATACCAACACACCTACAATTAATACATCAAACACGTTAACTCCTCAAATTACATCAACACGCGGTACACACTCTAATAATGTTCTTACAACTACCACACCGACCATTTCAACACAACACTCAGGACCACAGTCACCTTCGATTATCGTGGGTCTTGCTGCCTGGGTACCACCAGCCGGAGCTGGAGTTGGTGCTGCAGCGTCAGAAATTATTGCAACGCCAGTGCTTAATACGAAAGCTTCGACAATTCCTCAAGTTACAGGAACTGTAGATGCTTTTACATCTGCTACTTCTGCTTTACCTTCTTCACAGTATCATAATTCTTCTGCCGCGTCAGCTGTTCCTGTAGTTACCATATCCTCTCTCTTAACTCCTGACCCACGGACCGAAGAGCTTTTGGGTGCCTTAACAATTGATCAACTATCATTAATTGAGAAGACTGTCCAGCGTGTTAAGAGGAAGAAAGCTAAAGAATCTAAAAGGCTAAATTCTTCAAATGAAATTACTGCTAACGATAATACTAATATTGCTAACCTTGTTGCTAATATTAATGCGGTTAATAATGGTTCAACTAAACAAAATGCACAAAATATGACATCTAATTCAATTTCAAATTCTACAGCAATTTCACCAGTAACTTTTATTAACAAAGGTAACATTACATTATCTTCTAATTTTGTAACATCATCTTCATCACAAATCCATCAGAGATCATCAATTTTGTAAATCATCATTTATATCCAGATCATCATCATTATCAATCTATACACGAAAACCAACAAATACGATCACATCATAATCAACAACAACAACAAATAAATCTACAGCAGCACCAATTTTACACTCCGCAGCAATTTAAGCAACCTTCACAAATATCGATTACAGATAAACCACGACAATCACTAAATCCAATTTCTCCCCGTAAGTCTGATACTCCTATCTCGAATCCTACACCGAATCATGCACTTCCAGCTACGGATCCCGTAATTGAAGAGTGCGATGGAATATCTTGGGTCGTATTTACTTATTCGGTTAAAGGCAATAATAAAGAATATCGTATACGTATCGATATTGATAAAATAGATTTAAATGATATTGAGGAATCATTTAAGCGCGATAATTGTCTTTATCCGAGAGCCAACTGTACTGAAGATAAATATAAAGGAAATAGATGGTCTTATGAAAATGAATGCAACTCACTTGGATGGAAATTGTCATGGTTAAATCAGGAAGAAATTGGGGGGAAAAGGGGATTGTTACAAAGGGCTGTAGATAGTTATAGAAATCGTGATCCTATGTTACGCTCTCGTAGAGTAGTTCGTAATGAAAAGATATTGAACGGAACTTTACGTAAAAGAGTTACAAGAGATGGAGAAGGATATGACGTAAATGATGGTTCCGCAAAGAGACAAAAGGGAGTTGCTAAACAATTAACGTTGGAAGTTCCTGAAAAAGGAATATCCACTAAAATTAGAATACGGGTTGATATAGATACTGTAGATTTAATTAGTATACCTGAAGAATTTAAAAAGAACAATTGTGCTTTTCCAAAAGCTAATGTACCGAAAAATGAATATCAAGGTAACAAATATGAACTTGAAACAGCTTGGAATGAATTGGGATGGAAGTTGGTAAGCGAAATCTTTCTTTATTTTTCTCCCTGCAATGTTATATTATATTTGTTGATCTTTTTCTGTGTTTAAAAGGCCTTTCTTAATCAAAGTAAACTCGACGGTAAGAGATCGCTTCTACTTAAAGCAATAGAATTGTATCAATCAAAGTACAATACAGAACTTAGACCTAAAAGAGGAAGATACTCGCACACGCTTTCTGCTAAATTTTTTGAAAACCATCCGCGTGGTGTCGTTACTTCTAATTCTGTTACTCAAACAATTTCTTCTGTCAACGATAATGAAATTACAATGCCAACGATGACAACTGAAGCGAATTTGAATGAAATTTCAACAACAATCCCGTTTGATACTGTTTCAAATGGAACATCTCCAAAAGAGTTGACAGAAGGATCTACAAATATAGATAATATGGACGAATGAACGAATGATGAAGTAACCCGCACGAATCTAAAACTCTTATATACTAATAAATATTTATAATCTTTCTTATTAAAGTGATATTGGGTCTAAATTCTTTATTAATATGTGTTTAGGATTTTCCTTTTTTAATTCTCTTTTCTATTTAGATTGCTTTGAGATGTTTATAATTTACTTCTATAAATATATATATGTTTCTTTTTTTTATTATTTTTTCTTGTAAATTGGGTTTTATCACAAATTTAATTTTTTTTCCTCTCATTCTTTTTTTTTTTTTTTTTTTT